CTAAGTACCGCCGGTTGTTCATCAACATTCCATGTTCTTGTTTAAATCATAGGTTACGACAAAAATCCCTCTTTAACTCAAAGACTGCTGTGTCGAAGTATTGATTATTTAGGTTTTTCTCGATTCATGGGCTTTCTTTCGAGAGGGACCCCGGTATGTGAAAAACCTGCGGTGGAAGGAAGTTGGTGAAGAGAAGTGAGATAAAGCAAAGAAGGCAATGTCTGCACGCTGAACCCGCACAGCGCATTTGTTTGTCTCGAATCCAGTCATTGCGCAAAGCGCTCCAAGAACTTTTTGACGCTGGCCCGCGATTTCTTGCATCGATGCGCTCAGGTTCTGTTTTTTTGTGTGTGTTTAGCTAGTACCTCGTTTGCCGGCTTGGCAAGCACGCGCCGCTGGACTTTTTTGTGGTATGCTGGACAGCAGTTACGTTTTACCTACAATTTTGGGAATCAGTTGGCGACGGAGCGGAGTGGCATGGTTTCGGTTTCGATCAAACAGCCGTTGTCTCCGCTCGTGCGACAAAACACGCGCAACTGCAAGCCTGCCGAAGTTGCCCTCACGTGCATGCGAGCATGATTGCACAACAAAGGCACCAGCCGGGATGCTTGCAATCCATTGTTTTACGTTTGCATACTTTTGACGAAAATCTGGCACGTCGGGAATCAATAAAATGGTGGCAAGGGGTTTTTCGTAATTGCTCAGCAACGCCTACAGCACTGTAGACTTGTTGGATGTCTCAGCAGTAAAAACACAGGCAGCGAGTTTCGTCACAACATGTCACATCAGATAACAACACAACACAAACTGCCCTTTGTTTGTACAGCTTTTAAAACAAATATTTTTGGTTTTCAAAGAATATCTGCTCCAAAAGCCACTTTTGCTGCTCCAAGACATTGTTTTGATTTCTTCAAAGGTCACATTTGCTGGTCCGAAACACTGTATTGGCTGCACCGAAAGGTGCTCCAAGATGGCTTAGGCCAATCACATCACTGTCCTTGCACAAAGAACTCCTCCCTTTCTACTTTAGCAGAACGAACGCTGGGGAAGAGAAGAGCTCCAATTATGGGCAGTAGAGAACTTGATGGACATGCGTCTTTTTCTCTTATGTTGCAACAAGTTCCGTGGAGACTAGGACAGGTTGGAAAACAAAAATCAAGATGATTTAAATTGCACAGATTTTGCTATGATGACTTAAATCAAACATTTCTGGCGAGAAATAATTTTAGGAAATGTCTTTATATTTACTGTTTGTGTATAATATGATGCTTTCTATGTGCAGTTGTTTTCTATATTAAAAAAAAAAAAAAATCAAGCAAGAGAGATTTATATCTAGCTGAAACAGCAATGCTAAAGCAGAGTGTTGAAGTTTCTTTCTACCTCTCACTTTGTCAGTCACGTAATGCCCTGTTGCAAACAAATCGGAATGCAAAGGAAAAAAAAAAAAAGAAACTAGAGCAGTTAACCCTTTAACCACTCAACCCGAGCTGTACTCGTCATGGAAGGTTGTACCAAAATCGCCGATGACGAGTCACACTCGTCCAGCCAAAATGATGGTTTGCTTTCACTGCCAAACACGAGACAGGTTCGTCCATAGGCTTTAGTTTCAATATTCAACACTGGAGGGCAGGAGAGGTGGTGCAAATATAGCGTGTTTTGGCCTTTGGTATGTATCTAGCCTTGCAACAGTGATCAGAGATGGCAGCGCGCTTGAGTGATGCCGGTGACGGCCTTCGGAAACGGGCTCTCTCTTGCGGCACTTCAAACAGTAGGGACGATGAAGACATCGAATTTGCCTCTGAAAGTGAGTCGGACATGACAATGACCTGAGTGACGAATTAGACGACGCGCTGGGTAGTGTTTGAGTGTGGCAATGCGTAAACGCTGAAAACCCGCCAGCCGCGCCTCTGAGGTTTCCGTTTTGTGCAGTGCCTGGGATTCTGCGGCAACCCACTGACGAAAAAGACATTCTCGGCTGGTTCAAGGTTTTCTTTTTTTGATTGGGATTTTCCCAACTTCATTCTGACAGAGACAAATCGCTATGCGGTTCCGCATTTCCCAGCGCGGGGTTCTTGATGGAAACCGGTGGACCGCAAAGAGATGATGGTGTTCCTTGCGCTAATAATTCTGCAAGGAATCATTACTTACGGAACTTTGTTAGCGCTAGTACGGAGAAACGTTTAGGTACTTGATCTTTTGTTATGGTGCGTATTTTCAAATAAATACTGCGCATTTCAGCATGTGTTATTCTCACTCTTACATGCACTGAGGGCAAGCTTCCATATAAATCAACATTTTTTTTTTTTTTTTCTGTTAATACCTGTCAGAAACCAATCAAGTAATGTAATTGCAAAATCAGAACCACATAAGAAAAAATATGTGCAAATGAAAAATTTTGGAAAGTTTGTACATTTTTTTTTTTTCAAAGATTACTTGGTGGTTAAAGGGTTAAAGTTGTTTCATGTTGCAAGCAAATCAGAATGCAAAAGAAAAAGAAACTGCAGCTTTTTTCAATACCTAAAAATGAAGCCGTCTTTTTTTTCTAGTGTGGCAGGGTTCGCAAAGAAGTTGTCAATTCAACTAAGGTTTTCACTCATTCTTTTGCTTCGTTTGCAGTGATTGAACGGATTGATCAATCAATCTGCCACTTTTGAAATACATCTACTGGTAAAGATCACTCCCAGCTACAGTGATATAAACCATATTAATGTGATTCAAATCCAATAACTGATGTAAATAAAATAAACCTGGTTTATTTCAGTTCATTTAACATTTACTTTTGGCTAGGGTGTCTTTGTGCAGGCAGGTCCGACTACAATGTTCAGTGTCCCCACCCTGCATGTTCATTGCAAAACAGGGTTCATTTTGGGCATCAGCCTTTTGTTGTGCATGGCAAGCGGTCATCGGCCTCATAATGCTTCGCCGCTGCAGGTTGCTTCTGTAAATAATAAATTCCTACGTTATTGGCGATACCGGTTTTCTTATCGACATTCAGGACGGTAGCTAAACATGGCTAAAGAGTTGGAAGTAAGGGGATAGGCATGATCTGCAGCAAAAGGATGAGCACATGCACCCTCTGCATCTAACATTGTTCAGGAAAAGAATTGATTTCCGTACGTGTATCCGTATCCCGGGGTGCCCTTTTGCCGTATTCGTGGAAGTATCTCGGGGATAGCCCGTATGCAAGAGACAAACGTACATCACTTTTTGAAAATCCGGGATTTGAAAATTGAAAATTGAAAAGCCCACCCTATTACGACGAGTTAAATGGTGAAAAATATCAGCCAGGTGATCTTTTAGAATGAAAAAGCAAACGTTTATTCAAAATGACCCACTAACACCACGGAGCCCGCCACCAATCACGTCCTAAGGGGAACTGATCCCGCAGATTGATGATGTCGCAGACACGCATTCCACAGTTCAATAAACCCGCGGGAACCCGCTACGAACTTGCACGTCACAGTAACCGGTGTCGCGCGTGCAGCTTGCGGACCATCAAAGGTCAGGTCTTATGCTGCAGCAAACATGCGGGAATGTGCTTCGAGCTCGCTTGTCGCAGATAACGATGTCGCGAATTGCGCAGTTGATCCATTGGGAATCGGGGGTGGACCGGGGGCGGACACACATATTTCCAGCTGGGGGGGGGGGGGGGGGTCAGGGTCAGGGTTAGTTAGGGTCAGCATATCATTTGCTTGATAAAAAAAAAACATTTCCCCACCCTAAATTTTAACACACATCCCCCCTCCTCTGAACTCACCATTGGGGTGGGCAATGTGGTGGAATTTTTAGCCTATTCTGCTGTTTGTCAAGGATGGTAACAGCAATGCAGTTGTAGTCAAACACTAAAAAGGGTGAAAACAAAAAAAGGTTGTGCAATTCGCCGTAGCAATTGAAGCATCATCATTTCCATTGTTAGGCAGCGGTAACATCAATTTTGACCACCGCCTGCGTGTTATATTTGTCAAGTTGAGCACATTGTACGACATTGAACCGAATATGGGTTGAAGCTTCGAGCTGGTAAGCTTTGGTGACTGGCAGAATGCAAGCTGTCTTTTACGCCACATATCTGTCCTTGGGGAGGGGGTATGGCACACAGAAAATCATGCTTGCACTCACGAGCTGTTGTCTGGCCGCCCCTAGTCTTTAGGCTGTTGTCTCGAGGCCATATTTGGTGGCTTCACCTTAAAGGGATACTACAACGAAATTTCGGCGCTTATTTTTTGGCCTATATGTGTTCAAAGGAGCAGTATCAGATCGAACACACCAATATCTTGTTAAGAAAAGTCACGGAAAGGAATTTTAAAACAAATTAAACGAATAGCAAAGAGCGCCTGGTGGATGTCGCTAACGCCTCATTTGTTATGCCCATCTAGGAACCTTGACAGCTAGTGACGGTTACTGTCTCGCCTCCGGCCATGGCGAGAAAAGAGGGGAAGGAGGAACTCCCCTCTTCCCGAGAATCCCTTTTGTGTGTCCCAGAAGTCACTATTGTCCCTCTACAAGATTACAGAAGATTAACCCGTCACTCAAAATTTGTACAAAAGCAGCCGCTTCGGTGGCTGGAACGACTAGGCCATCCCCACGATGTCAGCCTCACCGTAGCTTTGCTCGTCCCGAGACGACCTACGTCACGATTGTGTCGGATGTCACGTGCTCTAAGCTGGGCCTTCTTCAAGCGCTTGCCCAGGGCGGGCCGTTTATAACAGAACATACAGCCACCAGGCTCAAAATACAAACGTGCAATTGTCATTTACGGATATTGTGGATCATATTCAACCTATTTTTGAACACGATGGGTATATATCGAATTTCGTTGAAGCATTCCTTTAAAGAAATAAATTTTTTTTATAAGGTTCTTGCATCGAACCCTGAATGTATGAAAAAATAAATTTATAGCCTAGTTTGAAAAAAAAAAAAAAAAAGAAAGGTTGCGCTCAACAGTGTTGATACGAATAGAATCGAGCTCGGTTGGGACCTGACAGTGTGTGCTTGTGACGCAGGATGCATCGTGGTTCTTGCACGAGGAGCTGTGTGATTACCGGGTGCTTGTCAAGTGTGTATACCGAGGTATGTCTTTCCCCCTTGCCTCCTCTATTGTCCTCCTGCAGCACCTCCCATGTTATGTTTTTGTCTTTGAACATAGCTTTATTTATAGGGCAACCCCGTCAATATTTTTTTAATTTGGGATTACGACTGTTTCAGGTAAAGCAGCGTCCCCAAAGTACGAGGAATAATTCTTTTTTCTTCAATAGTGCGTGTAGTTTTATAAATATCACCGCTCAAAGTTTGGTTTCGAGCGTCTTCGGCACAACCGAATCTATCTGTTAGAGGTATGGCAACACTGATTCTCAGCCTTACTGCCACGATGCAACGTTACAAGGGTGCTGAGCTACTCGGTAAAACCAATCAACCGCGGCTCCACCATGACGTTACGTCACGAGGGTGCTGCGTCAGTATTCAACTGTGAGCAATCCACTTGGCACCTGCTAAAGAACGCCGGTCGCATCTTTAAAATCTGTTTTGGTGGAGTATGTGGCTTCAAATTGACGTAATATTTCGGCTGTTATCATTTTCCGTGCCACTAAAGCGATACCAGCCATTTATTTTGGTTTCGTTCTCGGCCGGAGTTGCCGTTTAAAGGGTAACTCCAAAGAAAAAAAAAGTGTTTTTTTAAATAGCCTAATTGGGACAAGCATGTCACAAAACAAATGTTCTGCAAAAGAAATAATTCTTTTTAGCAATATTTACGCCACGGACGTAATTTAGTTGGAGTCAGAAGACTTCACATTTGAAACTCCTGCTCTTTTGACCCCCGCAGAGGAGAAGCACGCCCCGCTCCTCACTCTTAGATTTGCTCTTGGGTTGACTTGGCTGCGGAGTTGAACGATGTATCTCGACTTTCGGTAAGATCTGGCAACAATGGACGTTTAACATGGCGCTGGTATTGTTTTGGTTTGACAAGACATGAGAAGCTGCGCGGTTTGCGAGCACATAGCGAAGACGTGACGGGAGAAGTGCCCCTGTATGTTCCTGGAAGACGGAAAGTGTCATTCATAATCGTTGTGTGTGCTTTGAAAGCGGAGGGAGTCACAGGGTCCACGAGTGCGACTGCAAGCAAACGTTCACGACAGCGCTGCATTGACTTCGGCGATCTTGTTGTTTGGTGCGACACGGTGATGAGACAAAGAACTGAAACGTTCGTGGTGTGTGGGGTGCGATGCATGGAAGTAACGCCCCTGGATATTTTTACATCGAGGGACTTTACTTGGAAGTAGACACCCACACTAACACGGAGCTCAAATTGGCTGTTGTGGTGTTGAGGCTTAACGGATTCAGTCCCGTCGTCGTCAGCTGATCCAGTCGAACTGGTCTGGGAGGACGCAGCGAGCGTTTTTAAAAGTAAATCTTCCTTCGTTTCTTTTCAAAATGTGGAAGATTCCCGATGCATACTGTGAGTAAAAAGCTGCGGGCATTTTCAACAAAATTACGTTGTTTTAATTGAACAATAGACTTCGAATTATTGTCCTAAGTCTGCCGTTTTTATGCTTTGTGTTGTTGGACTGCATTTGCACAGCAACGTGTTGCGCTCACTGTGTGGAGTGAATAAATTTGGCAGGATTTCCTACCTGCCCACAGATTCATGAACTGAGACCATTTTCTACGTAGTGAACATAGTGCTTCTTTTTTTTTGGGGGGGGGTGGGGGGGGGGGGTGGAAGAGGCATTGTGCATTTATTACGGTACAATCACTTGAGAGTTCAGAAATCGGGGAGGGCGAGCAAGCTTTGCGAACTTTGTCTCTTTGCTCTCTGGCACTGCCCCTAGTTTCAAGTTGCAGTTTCAGTAAACATACCTACTAGCAGCCAGCTGGTATAAACTGCTCTAAAGCAGGTAAAAGACTGGGAAGTCGAGACGGTGCGGACTTCGTGTTTCGCTCTTTTCGCAAGGTGACTGGGGAAGTGCTTTTGCAAGGTATGCAGAATATGCGATCGATTTTGTCATGCCCGTCGTTTGCGTCTCTCTAGCAAAACGAATACGATAATCTACAAAGCCGCAATCACAAGCCAAGATTTACGATAACAGTACACGTTCATTCAGACAACTTTACGTAAGATGGTTTGGAAGCCGAGAAATAAAAACTGTCGGCTAACGCAAAAATTGGACGTTCGAAGGTTTCTGCAGACAGCTCTTACGTAATAACCTGACTGTGTCGCTAGGCGAACGCCCGATTGCCTCCAGCCAAATAGCATTCCTTTCGGGGCGACATGGCTGCTGGAAGGCTCGCTGTCGGGATCACTCATCTGACATCTCCGAAAAGTCAACGTTTGCACGCGCAAGTGCAAAAAAAGAAAAAAGGTACTCTAAGCAAGCAAAGAAAAAAACCGAAAGAACTGCGCCATGAAAGCCAAAACCCCCGTGTCACTTCCTATCACTGACACTGGCCGCAGCTGCTAAACACACACTACTTCACTTCAAGAAGTCTCACTCAAGCACCTGGGTCAGCGCGAAACACTGATCACTTCGGCAAAACGGTTAGTCGAGGTAGACTTTGGGGGCGGCCATGAAAGAATGGCGAAGCTTTTGTTTGTTATGGTATGAATCCAAACGGAAGTGCCCGTCTTGTAAACCTTTTGTAAAGAATAATAACTTTCATCGCATGGGTTATTCTTTAAACATAAAAATATGCCGCTCAAAAGGAAATTACAACATATTTTATATATAGGTTTAACATATAGGTTTAACAACCAAGATCTAAGCTGTCAATCAATCTCTTAGCCAATGAGAAGCATAGCAGCCAATGGGTGCTAAACGTCACGGAACACCAACTTTGTGGCGCGCGATTTAAAATGGACGAAATAGCCCCAAACTAAAATCAGTCTCGCGCAATAAATATTGCTGTAAAACTTTTTTTTGTCGCGGAAAAATTGTTTTTTGACATGCTTGTTCAAATTAGGCTGCTTAAAAAAAAACTTTTTTTTTCTTTGCAGTTAACCTTTAATAGAGCTGTTTTAAAACGTACGGCGCCACGGCGGCAGAGAATTTTGGGAACCCTCGGTAGAGATCACGCGCTTTCTCGTTCCGACTGCACGAGTTGCGACAGCCGCTGACAGCAGCCGTCGTAGCCGGAACGTCATTACGTTCGCTGTGTACCGTATCTGTGGCAGCGTGAACGCATCGCGACAGGTGAAGCTATTCGCTTATTTGAATGTTATTTGTTGTAACTTATTTTAACGTCTTGCAGTGTCACCGAATCCACTTATCTTGCACCGCAACCGTGGCAGGGTTTGACTAGGTTCGACAAAGCGTGGGTGCAGCAGACTAGAGTTCCTGTATAGGCTCCCTACGGGAGCCAGAGTTGGTTGTCTGTTTTCCATGTGCCGCCGCGCCGCTATTCGCCGAGATCTGATCACGTGAGGAGCCGGATCAAGTGCTGTGCAGGAAAGTAGACGTTGCACGTGCCCCGCCGTACGTACCCCTGCTTTTGAGCGCACCGAAAGCCTCGAACGCGCGGCGCCGCTATTCGCCGAATTCAGTCACGTGAGGAGCAGGATCAACATGCTGTGCAGGAAAGACGGCGCTATTATAGGTAGAAAAGCCGCGTTGCTGACGTTGCTTACTGGAGGCCAACATACGACACGGACACTGATGCTTTTGTCGGCCTTCAGCCAAGACTCGAGTTGTCGCCAATCGCGCATGAATCCCGGTCGAACGCCGGCCTAGCACTTGGTAGGTGATGGCAGAAATCCTGCACTAAGGGTATTTTTTGTCTGGTAGGAATGCAGAGTGTAAGTTTGTCTATTTCTTGCACAGGGGTCGCAATGATGTCAAAACGTTGAGCTTGTTTTTTGCCAATTGAAAGAAATAGTGGGTAGATCTTAAGGTGCCCAGCATTGAGGTCTACCCACAATCCTTCCAATTGAAGCCAAACAAAGCTGCGCGTCATTCAGACATCACCGCAACCCCTGTGCAAGAAGCAGACGACTTGCCCTCCTAATTGGATCCCGCAGAAACGAGCTTTCATCATTTTCTTTCAGGTGGAGTCGACCAGGAGTTTTTCGATCAGCTGGAACAGGCACATTCGTCGCGAGCCGACGGACGCGGCTCGTCTCGCCCTGGCACCTGAACCGAGGATTCATTCCGTTGAAGTCAAGCGGCGGTACGACTGCGGCACACGGTCGTTTCGGAGTAGTCCTTGAATAGGAAGGCGTGCGGAACTGTTTCGTGCCGACCGACAATGTTTCTGCGGGTGTCGCACGTGGCTGGAGGACTTTCTTGTCAAGGAATTTCTAATCGAGTCGAGCGAATTCAAATTGTTGTCACACAAAAGACGGGAGAGAGAAAAAAAAATGGGTGTTGCGTCATCCTCAACAGAGGGGAGGAATTGCTCGGCAATGGGGCCATAGAAATATTGTGCTCTTTTAAGAGCGCCGCAATTTCGTTAAACGGTGCCATGCCATTCTTTTGTTGGGCATTATCCGCCAAAGTTTGTCAGCTCCAGGATCGACGAAACACTGCATTTATATCGTTCAGTCTTGGGTGCATTAATGTCTACCGCATAATCAAAATTTGTTTCATTTCCTCTTTTTTTTTTTGCGATCAATTCTGCACAAATTTTGTTTTAGACAATTTTCTCATGTTCACTTGTGCCATCATGTCAACTTTTCTCAGGAAAAAAAAATGCTGTTTTTTTTTTGTTTTTTTTTTTTTTTTTTTTTTGCATTACAGAATTGTTTGTACATGTGACGACAGGTCTAGTTCTACCTTCGGAAGGTACGATTTCCGGACTCGGTTTTCTTCTCGTTTTGAGCCAGAGTCGCCAAGTCACTATGGGTTTCCGAAATCACCGCTGTAGCATGGCAGTCTGTTTTCCGGGTCGCTATACTTTGTTCACCTCTAGGCTGACAGTGCAGCAGTAGCTATGTGCTTGTTAAACCAGTCGTGCGTATACCTTTCAGCGCATGATAATGTTTCCGCCCGTACCCCCGTAAGGAGAGTGTGGTCAGGTGATCAAGGGAAGGTGGCTGATTGGTTTGGTGAACATATAGCTCCCACTGCACTGTTAGCTTAGGACTGAAAGGAGTATAGGTAGATGTTGAAAGTGATTTAGCAACGTGATGCATTTATATTATGGTTAAGGTGTGACGGCCATGTCCTCTTAATCACAGCGAGTTTAGGACGGGTGTTTCCTAATGAAGTCATAAGATTGTTTTAATGAATGTAAAAGTGATTGAGCTATTGCTATTATCTTTTGTCAATGTGATTGCTGTTAACAGCTGTCTCGTCGAGTTGGCTCGTAGGCAGGAGCTTTGTATAAGTTTGCAGACGAAAGGTGTCTTAGGTTTTTTTTTGTAATTACTGGAAAAAAAAAATTACTAAAAAAAGCTGGTAGGGTTTGTCTGTTTTTTGTTTTTTTTTCTGGTTTCGATTTGCTTTGTTTGTGTGCTATGAATGCAGTTTCAACTGGTCTTAGTATATCGGATTTGCACAAATATAATATGATTTTTACAATTTTTTTTTTTAATTATGTGTTTCAGAACACACATCTTGCGTTATATTTGGAATCGAGCTCAGCCGCAAGGCGCGCGAGTCTGGAGAAGGCCATCCCTCCGACTGAAAATGGGAGATTGGGTGTGTAAATAAATGGGGTATGGAGAAGAAAGTTGTTAGTTCTTGCACCACAAAAAGGGAGGAATAGAAAATGTTGAAAGCATTTTCTGTCGTTTTTATGTTTGTGCAACACATGCTGCCCGCTATGAAAGACAGTTAAGAACATGACATACTTGTAAAAGTGCAGTTCGCTTTCACAAGTATGTCATGTTCTTAACTGTCTTTCATATCATCTCGTAGGTCTTTATGTGTTAAGTGTAATTTGGCAGCACAGTATACATCCAAATGACAAACCAACTAGCTCAAATCCAAGCATTGTTAGCATTATGAGTAATCTTTTTTTTTTTTTTCTTTTAGGGGCTTCAAATAGTGTCCTCGCGTTATATTCGTAGTCACATTATATTCATGCAAATACGATAAGCTGAAAGTCTCAATTTAATGGCTGCATTTTTGCTTACACTGTTTGAAATGAAATTTCCAGAAGTGTGGCATCAGAAACATGAAAGGGAGGAAATATTTTATGAAAGAGTTTTTTTTACTCATGATTGTCATAATGTGTGAAAGCTGTTTTGCATCGTCGATAACAAGAAACGTTCATGCGACGTAGGAGCGTAAACACATTTTCCAGACGCTAATTAGCTCCTGGCAAATACTTTCTAAATGCCTTGTCTGTTTTCCCTTTTTTTCCATCTTCATGGGCATTTTTGATTACATATAGTGTAGTTCTATGTGTTGATGCAGAGGATTCTGTTATTGTGTCTGGGAATTCTATCTACTGAAAAAGATTCCAAACATTCTGCAATAAACAAGTTTCTTTATGTTCATCCGGTGTGGATTAATATATCTCTGCCCCTGTACTGGGTCTGCCAGTAAACCTTGGTTATGGATGCGCTGGGCCACAGTGTCTCCAATTCTGCTATTTTCTTTTCTTGGCAATGCAGTGAAAGGTACAGGCCCTCGTCCCCTCTCCCATTTTGAGTGTGCGCGGGCTCTCCTCCTCTCCCCGGAAATGGGGGAGAAGGAGAGCCTGCGTACACTCAAAATGGGAGAGGGGACGCGGGCCTGTACCTTCCACTGCATTGCCAAGAAAAGTTGTCGCGGAGTATAGTTACTGTGGCCACATCCCAGTTCATGTCTGCGGTATTGTGCAGCTACATTTCTTTTTGGCTGATCCCAAACTTGTAGATACGTAGTCTATTAAAATTATAGCTTGTTGCAGGTTCAGAAAAGCCCGCTGAGCTCTTCCCGCAAAGCCTCCCACTTAAGCAGCAGAGCAAATGCCGGAGAGGAAGCAACCAATCATTGTACCCTCGGAGCCCCTAGGGGCATTACAGGGGGGGGTGGTTGGTTAGTGCGAGGTGAAACTTGCGTGTTGTTGGTGATGGTGACGACGTCATTGGGAAGGCCATTCCAATCCCTGGTAGATTCGAGTAGAAGGGAATGCTGGTAGGGCTGCAGATATGACCTCGGGTCGGGCAATCTTGCGTAGGCGATTTAGTTTTAAAGAAACATGGGTTGATGGAGTGAGGAGGGACTGTCTTAGAAATAGAGAGTTATACCATAGCCTCCTCTATACGGAGAAAGCCTGGCGCGTCGCGTGAAAAGACGGCCGCCGTAAATGGGAAAGGAGGGCGGAGAAACGGGAGCGGAGAGAACCTTGCCCGCTAGCACCACAAAAGAGCGAGCGGCCAAACGCAGAAACAATCTTTTTTTTTTCTCTCTCTCTCTCTTTCCTTGTCGCTATCGCGGAGAGGAGAAACTCAACGTCCACCCTTTCCCGTTTCTCCCTGCGCCCTTTCGAATCGCCGTGCCCGTTTCTCCCGGAGTACGAAAACGACGGTGACGAAAGCACAAAAACAAGCGTGGTTCGGGGAGCGGCCGCTCATGACCCAAGCGCTCGCTGTCTAGGTATGCCCTTTCTGCTCTGCGCTACCATATTGGTCACCGTTCGGCGCGCTCCTCCTCTCCTTTTTCCTGCGGCCGCGCGCTCTATGGCTCCGTCGTCGATGTGCCAGGCTTTCTCCGTATAGAGGACGCTTTACACACGCGCCAAATTACAGCCGCCATTGCTGACCTTCTCTTGTCTTACCGAGATGCCGAGCAACTGAAACCGGTAGTTTACGATCCTCTACAAAAACCGATGCTTTAGAAAAGGACAGTTGAATCTAGTATGGCAATAACCTGGCCTGCTATAGTAATGATGAAGTGAAATGATGTAATAAGGGGAAACAAGAATTGAAGGTCAGTTATGGCGGTGCCCATGCACAGCTGCTGCAAAGCGTCTATACCTAGAAATCTTTATGCAAGGAGTGTTCAGAGAGGGCTAAGTGAGATATTTCGTCCTGCTAACACCTTCCCAACACCAAACTGCCTTTGGCAAGGCTTTGAAGTCTAGTGTTTGATTTTGTTACCATGAGACGGTGCCACTTGGTCAAATGTTGGCACTTTGCTTAGACTTGACCCTCTACTACATGACTTTTGGTTTTTACCAAAATATACATTTCATGTAAGTTGTCACTATAAGCGGCAATCAAAGAAATTTTAAAAATTTCTTTGCATAATTTGAATTTTTTTAAAAATTGGTTTGTGCTATATATGGCGCAATATGCATTACCACACATTTTAAAATCGGAACTTTTTATAAGTTGGTTGTTCATGTGAGTGTATTGAATATTGTACAAAATAATATAAAAATGTATTTCAAATGCTGCCAAACTTTATTGGTTATTGCAGCATGGGGTTGTAGGAGTAAGGGGTTATTGCAGCATGGGGCTGGTCAGTTTCCAGCCTCTTGGAGCACTCTGAAAAGGCGATGCCCATTCGGCCGGTCGAAGTCGGGCGCTCTAAGTGTATTCGGCAGGTTCCTTCATGGGTCTCTCAGATTTTGGGATCGCGCCGTGGGGCGCTCCGACTTCGAAGTGGGAGCTGTCTGAGTGCGTGCCAGAGGACCGGTCACGTGACTCCAGCCACTTCCGCTGTTGAAAGAGAAAGATGCCGATGCGGCCAAGAGGCGCCACCGCCTTTGGACACCGCACAGATCCCACTGTGCAGTTCGTTCAGGTAAGGCCTTACGTTCAGGAGGTGCTTGACGGGGACCGGACCGCGGCGAAAGTTAGCGTCCGCATTGAAGGCTACCATTTTTCGTGCAGGCATGCGGTCATGCGACGGGGCTATTTGCTATATCCCCCAAGTGCCCCGGCCCGCGCTAAAAGAATCATGGGAACGGTGTTCCTTCAGCTACTTAGTGATCGGTAATTTCGACCCTATCCTCGGTTACACGGCTTTTGAGCGTAATTCGTAGTCACCCTGATGAAGCGCCTGATATGCCCCAATGACCTGTCATATCGCTTTTGAAATTTCTTCTCAATGTCAGTGTTTTTGATACTGTGCATGCTGTCCACCCTTCAACTTGGATGGGCTGCCAGAAATCTCTTACATTATTATCATTCTCGTACAGCTTCAAAGACGCTGATATTAAGTTAGAAACGCTAAAAATGCTATAAACAGCCCCGCAGACTCTGAGCTAAATCCTGTTTTTTTTTTTGTTTGTTTGTTTTTTGTTTTTTTTTTAATTGGTTTTTTAAGCAATTCCTGCTAAAACAACAATCACGAGAATGATAATATTGTAAGATATTTCTGCAGCTCAGCCAGGTTGAAAAGTGGATCGCACGCACAGTATCAAAAATGCTGACATTGACAAGAAATTTTAAAAGTGATATGACAGGTCCTTGGGGTATATCAGGCGCTTGTTCAGAGTGACTCCAAATTACGCTCAATAACTAACTCTCGAGTGCGGGCCGGCGCGCTTGGGAATATTGCAAATGGTGTTTGAAGAAAAAAAAATACTGGGTAGGCCAGAAAGTCGTGATCGCATAACATGTAAGTACGGCGGAAGCTGCCGACTGGCGGGCCAATTGGAACTTGATTACGTATCACCGGAGTGCGCTTTTACTGCAAAGAAGTACTTTTCGCTGCGTCATGCTAAAAAATAGGGAGTTTTCGTAGATGGTTTCCGCTGTCTTGCAACGTTCTTCGCAAGCCGCTATGAGATCCGGGACTCTGCAGGCAAGGCTAGCGCCACGCATGCGCAGTAGTGGCGTCTTCGTTGCGGAGCGGTCTACGGAAATTCCCTAATGTGTGCTCTGCGCTCGTGTACGTAGCGGATATCGAAGCACGCAATGTGGGGCTTATCGTTCACCCTTTGCCAAGTTACTCCGTGGCGGTCATAGCTGAGCTCGCTGCTGCTTTCGAACCACTGGGGAAAAGAGGGAAAGCTGCTTTTGTACGAATTTTGAGTAAAAGTTAATCTTCTGGCATTTTCGCACCCCGCACGAAAATGTCAGATCGGAACGGTTCCAGTTCGGATCCGCGCGGTTCTAAACTTGTGGACAGTTCCGATCTGTGCGATTCTGGGTGTAACCAGTCGGATCCAGTGAGACGCAACGTATTGGAATCGCTCGGTGATGGGTGGATCCGATCCGCTCCCCTTGTTCTAGTAGGGTCTGCTCCCACCCAGCGGGCGCGCACATGCGTGACTGGAGGAGGGGAGGAAGGGGGAGGGGGGCGGGTCGGCGGGAAACTTTTGCGGTCTCTCGCAGGTCACGTGTTAGGGACAGGCGCATCCGCTACGCAGGCGCTGCGAGCGGGCGTTTTCCGCGCGCGCGCCTGGCTTTGTCTGTTGCAGTCGGCGGCAACCTCCGAGAGTTTCGGTTCTTTGCTCTCGTCGGACTGTCGGTCGGTGCTCGCTCAGCGGCACGGGCGTACCAACCGGGGCGGGGGCAAGGAGGGCGCTTGCCCCCCGCCCCCCCCTCCCCCGGTTCTCAGAGGGGGGGCAAGGCATGTGTTCTGCCCCCCCCCCCCCCCCCCTCTGAAACAGCCGCCACTGGGTAGGGCAAACACTGGACGGCAGCGCCCCAGGGATACAAAGGGCATCGTCCCCAGGCCCGGGGGGGGGGGGGGGGGGGGTCTGGTTTGCCCCCCCCCCCCCTCCCCCCCCCTCCCCACTCAAAAACAAGTTGGTACGCCACTGCCCGGCGGCGACGTTCGCGCTGCGGGCGCGCGGATACTGACGCGCCCATCGTTGCCCTTGATGGATACCCACTGACCTCTGCCTTTCATCTTTATATAGTGTGAAGCTACCGACGCATTGCACTTTGGCTCGGCGTCTGGATGCGCTTGGCACTGGTGTGCTTGGTGACAGTACTTGGACAACTCGGATACCGCTTGCCCGCCGGAACTTCCCGATGCACTCAATACTGGATACTGTGCTTGTGCGTGCTGTGTGTGTGTTTCGTGCACCGTGTTTGGTGACGACGCGCGCCTTGCTTTGTCTGTTGCAGTCGGCATCAGCGCTTCAAGAGTTTAAGTTTTCCTCCGCTCCCGTCGAACTGTCGGCCGGCGCTCGCCCAACGGCGACGTTCACGCTGCGGGCGCACGGATACTGACCCGCCAATCGTTACCCTGGATGGATACCCACTGACCTCGGCTTTGAATCTTTATATAGTGTGAAGCTGTCGACCCATTGCACTTTGGCTCGGCATCTGGATGCGCTTGGGGCTGGTGTGCTTGGTGACAACACTTGGACAACTCGGATACCGCTTGCCCGCCGGAACTTCCCGATGCACCCAACACTGGATACTGTGCTTGCGCGTGCTGTGTGTGTGTTCCGTGCACCGTGTTTGGTGACGACGCCTGGACGACCGTGTGCGCCGCCGGAATTACCGCTGCGCTCACCGCTGGACTCTACAAAAGTATTTCGCGCATTGCCCTTAGCCGTTACAAGCGAGAGATCGTCGTGATTTCAGACCCAGGCGGACTGGGTCTG